AAGCAGAATGATAAACAGATAAGACAAGTAGAAAACAAATAAGAACTCGACAGACATAAATCTAACCCCATGTAATTTATTGCATAAATGTAGATGGAGTAAACATTTAAACTAAAAGGTAGAAATGATTAGACTATACAAAAATGTAAGACTAAACTATATGCTGTTTTAATTAGTGATGGTTCTGTGGAAAAGCAGAGCCAATAGGATGTGTGGGTGTGGGTGTAGGGGACAGGGCGAGAGAGAGAGAGAGAGAGAGAGAGAGAGAGAGAGAGAGAGAGAGAGAGGGAGGGAGGGAGGGAGGGAGGGAGGGAGGGAGGGAGGGAGGGAGAGAGACTGAGAGAGACTTATTTAAAGAGATTGGCGCATGTTATGGTGGAACCCGGCAAGTCTAAAATCTGCATAGTAGGCGGTCAGGCTGAAGACCCAGGAAGAATTCATGTTGGTTAATGTTGCAGCTCTGGTTCAGAAGCAGATGGCAGGCAGAATTCCTTCTTCCTTGGGTGGGGAAGCTCCATCTTTTTCTCGTAAGGCCTTCAATTGATAAGGGGATGCCCACTCACATTATAGAAGATAAACTGCTTTATTTAACATCCGCTGATTTCAATGTTAATCTTATCCAAAACTATCTTCACAGCAGCATCCAGACTAGTGTTTGACCAAGTATCTGGGTGCCATGACCTTGCCAAGTTTATGCCATAACATAAAATTACAGAACCTTTTTATCTCCTTATGGTCTTAGCTCATCTTTATGTTTTTAAATCTTAGAACTGCTTCTCTTTGATCGCAGCTTGATTCACTGATCTTATTGCATGGAGACATTGCCTTCTTGTATTCTGTTGAGAATGGAAAATTGTTTCCAAAATAATTTATTTCTGGTTTCTATATAAATCATTTGAGAAGTCTCTGTGCTTCTCTGAGTCTTCAGGGATACTGATTCTTTCAACTCTTTGAATATTTTACTCAAATCAGGATGGTATTGCTTTTTTTCTTTTAGATTCATTCTTTACAAAAGCAACATTTATCTAGACTTGACAAAGGCCTATGGAAAAATGTGTTAATTGCCCTTTCATAGTTGATTAGGTCACTGGTTATATTGTTCAAGGCTCACAGTGGAAGAAAGCAGAATGCACTGTATTTGGTCTGAGAAGAAAGTGATGTATCAGATGGAAAAATGAACCTTACAGAATCTCAGTGAGACCCAGGGTATAAGGTTTAGTTATCACATAATCAAAAATACAGCAGTCAAAGGAAATGCCCAACCACCTATGGAACTATTTCTGTGGCCACCACCTACTGCTCAATACCTAAGTTTCTGGGAATCAGACTTCAGAAACTGGCAAATCTGCACCAGGAAAAGCAACGTATCCATCAAGAACCATGGTTACTGGCTCCCATTGCTCACACCCTCCTGGTCTCATGTGGACATCTGCTTGGCAAAACCTAAGCTACATGCAAAATCCTGGCTCTGCTAAGTAGGGTTTTTAGTATCCTAGTATCCGTTATACTAGAAGGTTCCACAGAAGGAAGTGGGAATAGCAGTGGAGTGAGCCACTGAAAAATCTGCTACACTAAACAAGCTTAGTGTTGGATGGAATACCCACACCTGTAATCCAAGGTCTAGAAGGCCTTCATCCATGGTGGCTCACCTGTGAAAGAGTGGGTCTCTCATCACATCACTGATTTTCTGGGACTCTATACTAAAGAAACATTTTTTAAAATCATAATCCCTTCTCATACCAACTCTAGGTCTCCTCCTTCCTGCTTCTCCCTCCACAAAGCCTTATTTTCTTAAACAAAATGTGTCACCAGCAATCTCTCCCCAAACCTTCAATACTGCAACTCACCACATCCACTAGATTGTGAGTTAAAATATAAATGTGTGGGGAAAAAGGAAAAGTGGATTCTAACCACCTACACTGTAGAGGATGAATCACATGGTTTCTGAGCCGGCACAGATTCTGGGTACATGAGCTGAGGACAGAATTGATGCAGGGATAGTTTTGGGTAAATTTCTTGACCTGTTTAAGAATATTTGGAATGTGTTACCTATAAGCAGAATTATAGAGGTAATGCCCGATAATTTTATAAAATCTGGAAGTCACTGATTTACATATTTGAAATTTTTTTCTTAAAAAAATGATGCATGACTTCAACAACTGGTGCTAGAATAACTGGATGTCTATGTGCAAAAGAATGATGGGGGACCCCTTCTTTATCTTAGATACCAAAAACACCCCTCAAAGTATACCCAAGACCTAGATATAAAAATTAAAACTATAAAACCTTTAGAAGAAAACATAGGAGCAAATATTTGTGATTTTGAGTTAGGCAATAGCTTTTTAAGATATAACACCTAAAACACAAGGGACAAAACAAGCAAAAAAATTTGCAAATTGAACTTAACAAAAACTAAATGGACCCCCTTGTTTAAAAAATTACATACCAGATAAGGGACTTGTATCCAGAGTATATAAATGATACTACTTGCAAATCAGCAATAAAAAGACAACCCAACTAAAAACAGATAAAACATTTGAACAGACATTACTGCAAAGAAGAGATACTAATGATTAATAAGCACATGAAAGATGTTTAACATCATTAGTCTTTCAGGAAATGGAAACCACAAGATGTAACTTTACACCCACCAGAATAGCTCAAAAAGAAAAGGCAGACAATAATAAATGTTGTCAAGGATATGGTGAAATTGGAACTCTCATTCATTGATGGTGGGAGTAAAAGAGTGCAGTCAATTTGGAAAACAGTTTGGCAGTTCTCCAAAAGTTAAATAGAGAGCTACCATACAATTTAGCAATTCTCCTCCAAGAATACTAAAAACATGCGTCCACACAAAAATTCACACATTTATGTTCATAGTAGCATTATTCATAATCGCAAATAAATGGAAACAGCCCAAATATCCATCAACTGATAAACAAATGAAAATGTGGTATATTTAGTCACTGAAATATTATTTAGCAATAAAAAGAAATGAAGTACTGTTGCATGCTGAGCTTGGGTGACTCTTGAAAACATGATGCTAAATGAAAAGAGCCAGTCACAAAAGACCACATATTACATGATTCAATTTACATTAAGTGTCCAGAATAGATAAATCTATAGAGATAGAAATCAGATTAGTGCTTGACAGGGGATAGTGGAAGAGGGAGCAATGGGAAGTGGTTATGAATAGGTGTGGTGTTTCTTTTTGGGGTGATGAAAATGTTATAAAATTAGACAATGGTTGTAATTGTACAACTTTGTGAATATACTCAAAATCACTGACTTGTACACTTTAAAAAGATGAATTTCATGGTGTACTAGTTATATCCCAAAAGGCTGTTAGGGATTAAACTGAATTTCACCAAAAGAATTGCTCATTTCATGCAAGTTTATTCATGATATTCTCACTGTTTGAAGTATGAAAGTTTATTGTTTGAACTAATTAAAAATTAAAACATATCAAAATGTGTGGGATGCAGCTAAAGGAAATTTAAATTTTTACATTAAGATGCGGGAAATACAAGTAAAAAAATAAAATTAAACCCCCAAATAGAAAGAAAACACAATAAATATAAAAGTAAAAATAAATGAAATAAAAAACTAAATATAATGATGATTGGTGATGATGATGATGATAGCAACATGAATGAATCGTGCAGCTGGATAGTTTTATTAAAAAATCAATAAAATTGATTTAACTCTCACTAGATGTATCCAGAAAAAAGAGAAGACACAAATTACCACAAGAGAAGCATCACTACAGATCTTATGGACTTTAAAAGGATCATAGGAAATAGTCTGAGCTACGTTATTCCAATAACTTCAACAGCCTAAATGAAATAGGTAAGTACTCTATCGTAATGTTACTTTGCTTATACTGGAATGTGTTTATTTTCAAGAGATCCATGCAGAAATACTAGATAAAGTGCAACTCATTTTCAAATGGCTCAGCACAATGTCAATAGTTGTTGACACTAAGTAGTGAGTATTAAAATTTTTATAATATTATTCTTTTATTTTACCTTTTCTATATTTTGAAAATTTTTTGTAATGCAAAATTGGGAGAAATAAATCAGGTATGGTATGGATGCATGTTAGTAGAGAGGCTTTCACTCTGGGTTAGTCAAAGCAGGGCTGATGGTGAAAAGGACAATGTCATGACCTTTTCACCCAAAGAGCAGGGTTGAAAACTTCCTTTTGTGTCTGGATAAAGCTTCTTGGTGACACTGGCAGGCTATGGAAACTCCCACTGAACAAGCACAGAAAGCAGGGATCTAGATTGCTGGACAGTCAGTCTTGACCTTTTCATTAGCTACAAGGGTCAACAAAACATATTGAGTTGCTTTGCTTTGTCTAGTCATCCAGCAACCAGGAATATTACTCATAGACTGCCCAGGATAGTCAGCATTGCTTTGTAAACAGAGTCCTGACCTACTTAACTCTTCCCAGAGGTTAAAAAACTCATACAGACATGAAACCTTGGCCTAAGTAGACACTAATTGGATACTAATTACCCTTAAGAGCTCGATTAACCCAAACTTCCCATAAACCAAGCTTGGTAAGAAATAAGAAAATGTGTAAGGAAGCAAAATGCTGCTAGAAAAATGACATGACCAGATTTATCAGTCCTGAAAGTCCTTTCTTCAGAATATTGATTATTGTACAATAATAAACGATGGAAGGGTTGACAAATCTCATGTTTACAAGTGGAGAATAACTTTCCTTTTCTTTTTCTAAGAAGCTGTATATTTGGAAATGGATGACATTGAAAGGAGGAATAATTGACATTCTAAAGCCAAGTAGGATGAAACAAGCAAAATTTTCTATATTTTCATATCTCTTTGTGATTAGAATATCTGTAAAGGAAACAAATTATTTTATAGTTATCGATTTTCTAATGAATGAGGAAAAATGCTTCATTATATGAGTTTGCTTTTGGACTGTGTCCTGGCTGATGTTGGGTATCCACGGACCCTCTCTGTCTTTTTTTTCCATGTCAGATGGGTAATGTGCCCACATTGTAACAAGGATCGAGGGAGGCACACCTCACACATGCACATGAACACCCAAGCATCACGCTTATGGACTACAAAAGCGTTTTAAATCTACTCTGCCTTTTTCTTTCTTTCTTTCTTTCTTTCTTTTTTGCGGTGGGGTCTCACTCTGTCACCAGACTGGAGTGCAGTGGCACAATTTTGGCTCACTGCAAGTTCCACCTCCTGGGTTCAAGTGATTCTTCTGCCTCAGCCTCCTGAGTAGCTAGGACTACAGGTATGCACCACCACACCTGTCTAATTTTTGTATTTTCAGTAGAGATGGGGTTTCACCATGTTGGCCAGGATGGTCTTGATCTCTTGACCTCATGATCTGCCCACCTCAGCCTCCCAAAGTGCTGGGATTACACATGTGAGCCACCACAGTGGCCCCTCTTTATATTGAGTAGAGACTTGAGAGGGAGTGACAGACAGAAGAGCATCAAAACTTCTTCACAGGACATAATTGAACTACTTGTTACTTATTTTCTTATGATTCATTTATTCAACAAATGAAACATTTCAATTGTTCAACGCTATTATAGATACACACTGCGTATAGTGGTTAAAAAAAAAAAAGACCAAAAATGTTGTTTTTATTTAGCTTATGTGATAGAGCAAAGTCAAAATTATTTACATAAAGAAAGGGGTGATGAAGGCTTTGGATGTGGAAATTGGTGTTCTCATCTAAGCTTTGCTGGTAGCTTGCTGAGAAAACTCTGAGTAATGAGTCTTTAAACTCCCTCTAGGCCTGGAAGTTCATCCACCAAGTGAGGTGCTTTACCCATGTTTCCAACAACAGCCCTTCCAGCCCCATCTTCCTATGAAGGAGAAACCTCAGTATGGCCTCATGGGGAGCATCGTGGACTTGGAGTAAAGCACTTTTGGTTTGTCCAATTATTTCATCTTTGGTCTTGATCATCTCATTTAACTACTTTGAGCCTCAATTTCCTTGCTGCAAAATGAGATGATGTTTGCTTAAATGAGCAGGCAAAGCAATCACCACAGCTCCGGGCATGGCACAGCACTTGGCTTTTGCTCCCTTGGGGTGCTTACATATGAAGAGAGGTTTTGCAATCCAAAGACAGTAATCATTTTAGTGAGCCAGCTAATTGAGGAGGCAGTTTCTCCTGAGTCACACTATCAGCTGATGTGCAACCTAAAAAGCATTTGTTTAATAATGGAAAAGGAGTTCATATCAGCTCCTTCAATTCTGACCATCTTTGGACTGGAAGGTTTCCTTCAATTCAAAAATATTTCCAATGGCATATACATCCGACTCCCCAAAGTCCACTTTGTCATTGTTATGCCTTCACATCCTCGCAGCTTAACTCCTACTTATGAATAAAAACATACTATGTTTGGTTTTCCATTCTTGAGTTACTTCACTTAGAATAAGTCTCCAATCTCACCCAGGTCATTGTGTATGCCATTAACTAATTTTTTTAATGGCTGAGTAGTATTCCTTCACACACACACACACACACACACACACACACACACACTATCACAGTTTATCCACTCATTGATTTATGAGCATTCGGGTTGGTTCCACATTTTTGCAACTGTGAATTGTGCTGCTATAAACAAGCGTGTGCAAGTATATTTTTCATATAATGACTTCTTTTCCTTTGGGTAGATAATCAGTAGTGGGATTTCTGGATCAAATGGTAGTTCTACTTTTAGTTCTTTAAGGAATCTCCACACTGTTTTCAATAGTGGTTGTGCTTGTTTACATTCCCGCCAGCAGTGTAGAAGTGTTCCCTGTTCACGACATCCATACTAACACCTACTGTTTTTCTATTTTTTGATTATGGTCATTCTTGCAGGAGTAAAGTGGTATCACATTGTGGTTTTGATTTGCGTTTCGCTGATCATTAGTGATGTTGAGAATTTTTCCATATGTTGGTCATTTGTACACCTTCTTCCTTCTAAGACTTGCCTATTCATGTCCTTAGCCCACTTTTTGATGAGATTGTTTTTTTCTTGATAATTTGTTCGAGTTCATTGTACATTCTGGATATTAGTCCTGTGTCATATGTATAGATTGTGAGGATTTTCTCCCACTTTGTGAGTTGTCCATTTACTTTGCTGTCTGTTCCTTTTAAGGTACAAAAACCCTTTCGTTTAATTAAGTCCCAGCTATTTTTCTTTGTTTTTATTGCATTTGCTTTTGGGTTCTCAGTCATGAAATTCTTGACTAAGCCAATGTCTAGAAGGGGTTTTCCAATGTTATGTTCCAGAATTTTTATATTTTCCAGGTCTTTTATTCAAGTCCTTACTCTATCTTGGGTTAATTTTTGTATAAGGTGAAAGATGAGGATCCAGTTTCATTTCCCTACATGTGGCTAGCCAATTATCCCAGCACTATTTGTTGAATAGGGCATCCTTTCCCCAATTTATGTTTTTGTTTGCTTTGTTAAAGATCAGTCGACTGTATTTGGGTTTATTTCTGAGTTCTCGATTCTGTTCCATTGGTCTATGTACTTATTTTGTACTAGTACCATGCTGTTTTGATGACTATGACCTTATACTATATTTTGAAATCAGATAATATGATCCCTCCAGATTTGTTCTTTTTGCTTAGTCTTGCTTTGGCTATGCAGACTTTTTTTTTTTTAATTCTGTGAAGAATTATGGTGGTATTTTGATAGAAACTGTGTAGAATTATAAATTGCTTTTGTCAGTATGGTCATTTTTCCAATATTGATTTTACTCATCCGTGGGCATGAGATGTGTTTCCATTTGTTTGTGTCATCTATGATTTCTTTCAGCAGTGTCTTGCAGTTTTCCTTGTAGAAGTCTTTCACCTCCTTGGTTAGGTATATTCCTAAGTATTTTACTTTTTTTTTTTTGAGATGGAGTTTCGCTCTTGTTACCCAGGCTGGAGCGCAATGGCGCGATCTTGGCTCACCACAACCCCCGCCTCCTGGGTTCAGGCAATTCTCCTGCCTCAGCCTCCTGAGTAGCTGGGATTACAGGCAGGCACCACCATGCCCAGCTAATTTTTTGTATTTTTAGTAGAGACGGGGTTTCACCATGTTGACCAGGATGGTCTCGATCTCTTGACCTCGTGATCCACCTGCCTCAGCCTCCCAAAGTGCTGGGATTACAGGCGTGAGCCACCACGCCCAGCCAGTATTTTCCTTTTTTTACAGCTATCATAAAAGAGGTTGAGTTCTTGATTTGATTCTCACCTTGATTACTGTTTGTGTGTATAAGAACTACTGATTTCTGTACATTAATTTTGTCTCCAGAAACTCTGGTGAATCATTTTATCAGTTCTAGGAGCTTTCTGAAGGAGTCTTTAGGGTTTTATAGGTAAACAATCATATCATCAGCAAACAGCAACAGTTTGGCTTCCTCTTTACCCATTTGGATGCCCATGATTTCTTTCTCTTGTCCGATTGCTCTGTCTAGGACTTCCCGTACTATGTTGAAGAGGAGTGAGAGTGGGCATCCTTGTCTTGTTCCAGTTCTCAGAGAGAATGCTTTCACCTTTTCCGGATTCAGTATTATGGTGTTTGTGGATTTGTCATAGATGGCTTTTATTATATTGAGGTATGTCCCTTGTATGCCAGTGTTTCTGAGTTTTAACCATACAAAGATGATGGATTTTGTCTAATGCTTTTTTTGCATCTATTGAGATAATAATGTGATTTTTCTTTTTGATTCTGTTTATGTGGTGTATCTTATTTACTTGCATATGTTAAACCATCCCTACATGCCTGGTATGAAACCCACTTGATCATGGTGGATTATTTTTTTTTGATATGTTGCTGGATTCGGTTCACTAGCATTTTGCTAAGGATTTTAGCAGCTATGTTCATCAGGAATATTGGTCTGTAGTTTCCTTTTCTTGGTTATGGCCTTGCCTGGTTTTGGTATTAGGGTGATACAGGCGTCACAGAATGATTTAGGGAGGGTTGTCTCTTTCTCTATCTTCTGGAATCGTGTCAATAGAATTGGCATCAGTTCTTTGAATGTCTGGTGGAATTCTGCTGTGAATCTGTCTGGTCTTGGACTTTTTTTGTTGGTAATTTTTAAACTATCATTTCAATCTCACCACTTGCTATTGGTGTGTTCAAGGTATCTAATTCTTCCTGATTTAAGCTAGGAAGTTTGTATCTTTCCAGGAATTTATCCGTCTCCTCTAAGTTTTCTAGTTCCTGTGCATAGAGGTGTTCACAGTAGCCTTGAATGATCTTTTGTATTTCTGTGATGTCAGTTGTTCTTGCTAATGCTCCATCAATTTTATTTATCTTTTCAGAGAACCAGCTTTTTGTTTCATTTATCTTTTGTATTTTTTGTTTCAATTTCATTCGTTTCTGCTCTGATCTTGGTTATTTCCTTTCCACTTCTAGGTTTGGGTTTGTTTGGTTCTTGCTTCCCTAGTTCCTTGAGGTGTGACCAGGTTGTCTGTTTGCATTCTTTCAGACTTTTTGATGTAGGCATTTAGGGCTATGAACTTCCCTCTTCGCACTGCCTTTGCTGTATCCCAGAGGTTTTGGTAGGTTGTGTCACAGTTGTCATTCAGTTTGAAGAATTTTTAAATTTCCATCTGGATTTCATTTTTGACCCAATGGTCATTTGGGAGCAGTTGTTTAATTTCCATGTATTTGCATGGTTTTGAAGTTTCCTTTTAGAGTTGATTTCCAGTTTTATTTCACTGTGGTCTGAGAGAGTGCTTGATATAATTTCAATTTTCTTAAGTGTATTGAGGCTCATTTTGTTGCCTATCATATGGTCTATCTTAGAGAAAGTTCCGCATGTTGTTGAATAGAATATATATCTTGCAGTTGGTGTGTAGAATGTTCTGTAATTATCTGTTAAGTCCATTTGTTTCCAGGGTATAATTTAAATCCATTGTTATTTTGCTGACCTTCTGCCTTGATGACCTGTCTAGTGCTGTCAGTGGAGTATTGAAGTCCCCCACGATTATCGTGTTGCTGTTTATCTCATTTCTTAGGTCTGTTAGTAACTGCTTTATAAATTTGGGAACTCCAGTGTTAGGTGCATATATATTTAGGATTGTGATATTTTTCTGTTAGACAAGGTCTTTTAT